TCCCAAGAGGCAGGGAGCCTCCGTAGGTTTTTGAAATTTTTATGACCTTTCTGGACCACCGGGCTGTGGTCTTCTCAAAAATTCTTTTTCCCGGTCACTGGGGGTCGAACTCCTCCCCCACCAACCAAGGCCACGTGTAAGCGACCTCAGCAAGGACGGTCTTTGGCAAGCCATGGGGGGGGGCGCGCCCTCCAAGACCTGAGTGAGAGTCTCCCCAGCAGTGAGGGACCTCCATTATGTAAAATTAGGCAAATATCTACCTCAAAACTTAGCAGTAGCCCTTTTGGGCCTAAATACAAAGTTGTTTAACCATACCACAAGGACACGTGCTCTGCCATGCCCAGAGCAGAACTTTATCATAGCCAGAATCTAAAAATAACCCAAAGGTATCTCTTTTACACCTAGGATAAATGAGACATCATCCTTTTAAATATCCATGAATACCACAAAATATCTAGGAGTGACTTTAAGCAAGCAGGACAAAAGTTTTTGGGTCCTGTCATCTCTGCCTGTGAAGGCGGAAATGTTTTTTACTTTTAACCATTATCACTTGCTAAGAGTATAACTCTGGCCCTTGATAAATTTAGTGAGAGGCCTGAAGCAACACCTGGCAGCAGGAAAGAACCTCAAGCTGAAACATTATGATTCCCACCCAAGAGCGGGCCGTACAAACGAAAATTGTCGGATAAGAATTTTAAATCTTGAAAGATCCCCTACTTTCTTGCGAAAGCAGAAGAAACACAGCAAAAATGACAATTTCACTGAAAGCAGTCTACGGATTCAGTGTAAATGTCCATTAAAAATTATAGCAACATTTCTCACAGAACTCACATACAGACTTTATGTAATGTTCATTAAAATTATAGCAAAACTTTTCACAGAACTCAAAAGAACAATACAGAACTCAAAAGAACAATCCCCAACCTTATAATAAAGAAATAAAAACTCAGATAGCCTAAACAATTCTAAAAATCCTCTGAATGCATCACAATCTTTGACCTTAAAACTTTTTCTACAGAAACACAGTATTGAACTTAATCTACCTTAGATATAAACTTTTACACCTACAAACTAAAGATTTTTGACCAAGAAGCAAGATTTTTGAAATGGAAAAGAAGCATATTTACATGCAGCTGCAGCTTTTTGAGTCTAGACTCCTTTATAGCAAACCTGCCTGTCAGCTTTTGCTCCATGTGGCAGGGAGTTAAAGACATATACATAAAGCAAACACATAAATCTCTGTTTTTGACTCTTACTCCTCTGTCCCTGAGTGAATGCTTAAATTCCTGTATGAATTTCTCTTCCTTTGAAAGTGATTGTCTCACCCCTTGTGGGACGACGTGAACCTGCGCCTACCTCCCGTTCTGCCATCTGTCCGAGTCCTACAGCCGCAGAACCTTCATTTTTCTTCTTGTTGTTGTCCCGGGACTGCGCGTGTCGTCCGATAGCTGACCGTACTCCGAGTCACTGGTTCGGGCGCCACTGTGGATTGCGTTGGGTGGGCTACTCAGTCTAGGGGTTAGTAACCCACCCGCAATCCAGTTATTCCAGGGTCTCGGAGGGGCGCTACCTGGAAGGGAATGAGCTAAGACAGAAGAACGAGACCAAGCAACTTTGTCAAGGCCTCAGTTTATTAGGGACGGGTTACAGTTTATATATGGTAAGGGATGAGGGGCAGGGTACGGGATCTCGCAGGCCGCGTGGTTCCGGTCACGTAGCTCGGTTACATTCAGACAGACAGGCCAGAAGTCACAAGTGGCCACACCTGGTTCCCTGGATAGCTGGAATGTGAGGCGGGTTCCGCTAAGATTAGCAGTTAATTGGGTGAGGGGCAGGTTTTGTCAATAGAACATAACTATGGGTGTGAGGTTCTCTGCAGACTCCCTAGAGTGATGGTTTCTGTAATGATTGTTAGAGGGGAAATGGCTCCTGACAGAAGGTGTTCATAGTGCCATGCTAGATTCGAACACAATGCTTGATCTCAAATTTTAATATATCCTCAATGCCCTATTTTAGCTTCTTAGTTGTTATTTCATTTTGATGACACAGAACTTGAATTAGAAATTCTTAAAGATGAATATTGCTTCTGGACCTTCTGGTCCGTCAGTTCTACAGTTCCCTTATTTTGTGCAGCAATCCATTTGTGTTACATGTCTGGAGCTAGTTTGCCCATTATTAGAACTTGTGTGGGTCCCTGTGCATATCTTTATAGATCTAGAAAAACTGCTGTTACTTAGATTGTCTATTCAGAAACTAATTACTTTGCATGGCCTGGAGTGAGAGTCCTAGATAGAGCAGGAGGCATTGGCTGCTGTATCAAAGAGTCTATTTCTGTAATTTTGAATATGTTCAGGGACTAGTTGGGATCTATATAAGGGTTCCCCCTTTTTAATATTCACAGATGCAACCTCCTTGGGAGGACAGGCCAAGCCCCAGACTTGGGTATGAATCAGAAAAACCTAAAGTCAAGGGTTTTCTTATGTGAAGTGATATGTCTGGGTCTTGATGGGGTACCTGTTATTACTGATGGATTCATCCTCGTAGACTTTATCTGCCCTTCCCCCATGTTCCTCTATCTTTAGTTTTTAATCTGCACCTTGGAGAATGATAATGCATTTCCTGATGGACTCTTCAAATGATTCCAAATAGTATTGGGATGCAAAAGCAGGATAACTTGGTCCTCACTTGGATCTGACTCTCCCATATGAAATCTGCTAGAGATCCCCCAATACCTTTTTTATAGGAAATAAACAGACCCAGTGTTAGTAAAGACTATTTCATTGGAGGAAAAATGGCCTTATTGAGGTTGTCTTTCTGCCCGCCGATGCAGTTAGCATAAAGTAAGGGTAGTCATTTATTACTGTCATAGTTAGGATTTTATTGCTGTAAAGAGTCACCATGAACAGGTGACTCTTAAAAAGGAAAACATCTTAATGGGGGTGGCTTACAGCTTCACAGGTTTAGACCATTATCCTTATGGCGGTGTGTAGACAGACATGGCACTGGAGAAGGTGCTGAGAGTTCTACATCTAGATCTGCCACCCCACCTAATAGTGCCACTCACTATGGGCCAAGCGTTCAAACACATGCATCAATAGGAGCCATTCCTGTTCAAACACCACAATTACCGTTTTCATTTGTGCTGGGTAAAGAAAAGAAGCATTATCAGAAGAATGTATTGAAATTCCTGCTGCTGTATTTTTGTGGCTTACTTGGTTAAACACAGAGAATTAACGATAGCAAAAGTCAGATGATCATTTGCTAGCACCGGATAAGATGCCTGTCAGCAAGTAAATTGACCAAGGAGGTGGGAAGCAATGAAGAGGACAACACAGTAATCATGCCATCCACCTGACAGCTCTTTCCACCCTGGCATCTTGGCTGTTGAACTCCCTTTCGTTCCTGTAGATGAGTTTTGAAATAATTCTGAGCAGTGAAGCCCTTCTTGAACGAGAGTTTCAGCTCAGGAATCTCTTGAATGACATCAAAACCTGTCCTGCAGTGCGATTGTGCTTTAAACAGACTTCCAACTCTGGACTTAACTCACTCCCTTTGTGCCTTGCTTTTGTTGGCAGTTTTGTGAGTCCATTACACGGAGAGTCAGGAGATCTGAGCCACTAGGGCAATTTAAAGACCTTAGACAGAAGGAAGCTGCCTCTAGAACTCTATTCTGGACAGCAAAGAATGAAAGGCCCTCTGAATATACAGATGCCTTTCATCTCTGGGAGCGAAAGCATTCAGAGAGAAGTGAATATGTGCATGGCTGAACTAGTTATTCATCGAGTGTTTTTGACTTGCTAAAAGCGAGTTTAATGTATTTATACAATTTATAAAGATGTAACTGTTTCTGGAGCTCTGCTCTTTACAGAGGACATATTTCATGTGATTGTAAGCACCGAAGAAAATTAAATCAATAAATCCACAGCCTATAATTTGAGATACTCCATTTGAAGAAAGAAGACGTTGTCGAGGAGGGAGGAGACAATGCTTTTCATGGAGGAGGGATTCTAGACAACCTTCCCTGGCTCAGCTGTCCTGTGCATCCAGGTGACAGGAGAATTACCTTGTTCAGAAAGAGCATCAGAGGGTTGTGCTGACACCTCCCCAGGAGCCGGGGCCAGCTGCCTACCCTTTACAAAGGCAGAGAAGAAAGCTATGCAAATGAAGCTGGCGCTCTCCGGGCTGCACTGGCCTCTTCTCCTATCAGGCCTCGCTGGTTGGCAGTCGGGCTGAGTGTCAGGAAGCAGATGAGTTTTCCCCTCTCGCTGGCACTGATGCGTTCTGTGACCACTGGCAAGCCAATTAACCTCCGCAAGTGTCACCTCTCCATGTGTAAAAGGTTAATAGTGCGGCTTGTTTGCAAAGTGCCCGGAGCCCTGTGTGAAGGGCACTGCCCGGCGTACCCAGCATGGCTGCTTGACTAGAGGCCCTTGCGTTTCTTAATTATATGTCCGGTTGGGTAGGTTATGGATTTTTGTTGTGACTGGCGATGGCCCTTTCTCCCTTGTTACAAATAAAAAGACTAATAGGTGATCTCACTCTATTACTGTCTTCTACAGCTCCCCAGAGGGTTAAAGGAATGACAGAGGTTACAGATTAATAATGCATTCTTCGGCGAACAAAAAAAAAAAGAAATCATGTGCATCTCAACTTCATAATGGCTGAGGACAGTAATTTATTAGGCCAAGTGTTTCATTGGATGTTGAACAGATAAAGCTGGCAAACACTCATGAAATTATGAGAATTTTTTTTCTTGTCTCCTAATAGTTTTTCTTCCTTCATAACCACATGGTGGTGAAACTGTTTTGTTAAGGTATGTTTCCGATGCATTTATGAGTATTGGAAAAGCGAGACTCTTGAAGTGTCAGAGAGTGACATATTTGTGTATATCTAACTTTTGACACAAAGCTCGCTGTTTTATTGTACTGGGGCCGCGTGTGAGTAACGCCAGTCAGTCCTAGCTCAAAGTGGCACACACATTGTCTCTTGCTTCTTTGCAGATCTGCGGAAAAACTTTGAACAAGATCCACAAGGCAGGGAGGTGCCTATTGAAGGCATGATCGTGTTGCACTGCCGCCCGCCAGAGGGAGTCCCTGCAGCAGAGGTAAGAAGGCCTCCACTGTGAGGAGTCAGGCCTGTCCTCCATGAGAGGACAGAAACCCAAAGAACCTAGGCCTGCCATTCTCGCTGTCTGGTCTCCCTTGCGAGACACAGTGAAGAAGTCACGGTGGGGGAAAGTTGGGATGAAACTTGCCTCTTGGCAACATTCTGATTGACGTACAGTTAATGCTAGGCTATGCTCTTGATTCCGAGGACCAACCTTGGTGGGGTCTGCCGTGTGTTGTGTTAGGACTGCCTGTTTTGTACAGTGCCGGTGGGATCCCTCTGTTCATTAACAAGGAGCACTGCCTGGAAATGTGCCTGGAGAGGGGATAGTTAGTGTCTGTTCATTCTTCATTTGCTTAGAGACCAAGCATCTTCTGAACATCTGGTATGCTACAGTCTCTGTGTGGCTATAGTATACAGTGCAGCCACTGTGAGCATCTAGAATCCAGAGTCACCATGGCTTTGGAGTCCAGACATGTTTCCTAGAATCCCCCTCAACCCCACCCCCAGCATACTAGGAAACATATGTTTGACCAGGAGTGGCCTGGGGTCACACTGAAGGCTTTCTGAATCCTTGATCACTCTTAACACGTGTTTTAATTGACTAGTAATGTAATTACTGGGGGCAAACCTAAGAGTGGGCAGGAAGGCTATTGTTCACAGGATTTTAGAAAGTAAGTGTATGCCATTATCCTGTATTCAGCAATAATTGTTCCAGCCATGGCTCTTCAGTGTGAATCTAGAAACCTGTGGTTCCTTCGGTGAGAAGCAGACAGACTTTAAAGAGGAAAAACAGCAACAAAGAAAACGAAAATCAGAAACATCTGTCGTCTGTCTTTGCTAAAATACCTGTAATATTTGTACTGGGAAAGAACAAAGGAAGAGAGGGAATAAACACACATACGCACGCGCACACATACCCACACACACACTTGCATATTTAGGCAGAAATCCTGCTGGATGGATGCTACTCAGGCTCAGATGGTTTGCAGAAATGAAGTAAACGGACTTGAAAATTGAAGTGAGCGCACCATGCATGATATGAAATAATTAGAAATGAAAATGCTTATTTTTAAATTTTTACTTAATGTAGAACAAAAAGATATTAATCTTCTGCCACTTTCTTACATCCAGCAATTTTGTATGTCCCATCCTGTAAGCAGGGCACTCCATTCATAAGAGGCTGTGTCGTGTTGCTTAGGGCTTCCTGTGTTCCCATGGGTCTGCCCGCCATGCTTGTCATTCTCTGCAGCTCCCTTGCCCACCTTTGAGAATCCCACCTTACAAATAGCTTGGCACAGATGCATGCAGCCTCTGCAGACCCTGTAAACGGAAGGCAGGCCCAGGTGGGAAAGACGCTGATTCCCACTGTTAGCATTCTACCTGCAAGAAGTTCTATAGTTAGATGTCTAGGAGGCAATTTTCGTGGCCGGGGGAAGCTTAGTTGTTTCCCTGGTACAGCCTTGGCCTTTGAGAGGCAGGAAAACCAATATCAGATCAATGACCTTACAAAGGCCTCACAGCCGTATATGGTCTCTCTTCCACATCTCTTAGGGAGTCTCTGAAGTACTCGTGGGAAATGCACATGCTTCTGCCTTACAGGGTCCAGCAAATGGTCCTTCTTTTATCACAGCCCCTGTTCTGTATGTACTGCTCTGCAGCTGCCCCTTCTTCCTCTCATTTTCCCAGATGCACCAGCAACGCTTCCACCTCAGGTCCCTTTCATGTGCTGGGTCCAGCAGTGACCATCTCAGTAATTCTCCCTATAGGGCCTATGCAAATATCACCTGCTTAATGTGGATGGCTGTGGACACTCTGGAAAATGTCACTGTCACCCTCCACACATACCCCTCTCAGTCCCTCTCCCTTCCTTTGTCTCTTTATCTCTTGTCACTCATACTGTATCAGCCTTGATTGTTCTCTGTTGTCCTACTGGAACTGAACTTGTATGAGGAGATCTTGTGTGTGTGTCACCCATCCCTGTGTCACCAGAAAATGAAATGTACTCACACAGCTGTTATCAAAAAGAAGGAAATGATAAATAATGGCAAAGACATGAAAAAAATGGATTTCTTGCATACTGGTGGTAAAGAGGTAAATTTAGTTCAGCCATCAGGAAAAAAAACTAAAGAAGTTACTCAAAAATATAAATAGATAGATAGATAGATAAATAGATGATAGATAGATAGATAGATAGATAGATAGATAGATAGATAGATAGATAATGACTGCTGTGTGACCCAGAATTTCACTATGGGACATATATCTAAAAATATGAAGTTAGGATACCTACAAGGCATCTACACCTCTTCATTTTCTGAACTCTAGTCATAGTAGCAGATATATGGAGTCAGCCCATGTCTGTCGACAAATGAACAGAGAAAGGTAATATGGTTCATGTAATGTGACATCAGTACTCTTCAGCCTTTAGAAACGATGCCATTCTATTCCTAACAAACATGCATGAGCCTCTCTGATATGTCACATGTCACAGGGGATAAGATGATTAGTCACTGCATGATTTTGTTTCCCTGTAGAGACCGAGAACATAAAGCTCCCTGTAGAGTGGTGGCTATCAAGAGTTGGTGGAAAGTCAAAGGATACAGGATATCATTTGAGAGGAATAGGTTCAAAAGCCCTGTTGGGCAGCATGGCTACTGCAGTTAATAACAATGATTGTGCTCTTGAAAATTGATATACTAGACTTTCAGTGTTCTCATAAGAACATAATAGGCATGTTGGTTAATGGACATATTAGCTCAGTTTAGCCATGCCACTATAAATACACATTTCTTAACAACATTCACACGTGCATATGCACATGCAATTGTACATACATACATTTTATTTGTCAAGAAAGAAGTTAATCCTTACAGACCCAAAGGGGCTTCTCCCACCAAGATACTCAATATTTGTTGACTAGGAGTGAGCCTAGCTTCTTGTCTCTGTCAATGGGAATTGGAGTGCCTGTCAGACTCGTGAGTAGATTGTCATTTCTGTTTTTGTTTGGTACTAGGTACTAGCAGCAAATGACTAGAACATTCTCCATCTGTACTTAGAAGGCATGGATCAAAACAGGAAAAAGAAATGGAACCAAACAGGGTAAATAATCTAATAAGGTGACATCCCCAGGTAAAGTGTAGCAGGCTGTGAAAGTCTCCGCATACACCCTCACACATGGCTGAAGCATCTTCATAGTCAAGGCGGGCTCCTATGCTGTGCCGGCTTGGTGGAGGATTCCTGTGCAGGAGGCTGCCATCTAGAAGCAAGCAGCTCCCCTGTCTGGTTCTATGCTTAAAAATATTAGACTGGACTCAAAGCTGCAGTGCATACCCCTCCATCTTCCTGACCTAAGCTCCTGCCCTGCAAGTGAATCAAGGTGTATCCCATAGCCAGTGCTCAGTCCATTCTCTCCCTTCATTTGCTTCAGATGGTGCTTTCAGCTGGAGCCCCAATGAGCAAAGCATGGCTACTAAAGGCCGATGAGAAGAGTGTTTGGAAGAGGTAGAAAGGAAGGGAGAATATGTAGTTTATTACCTTCCTATCCATTTGAAAACCAGAGGCATTCAGTCCCTTAATCCCTTTCCACTATTCTGGTCACAAATAACCACAAACCAGAAAGCTTATAATGATCATATTTTGAGGTAGGAGCTGGAAGCCACGTTGGCAGGTCATTTTCTCCTGGAATGCTAAAAGGGAATCTGTCGTAGGTTTGTCTTCTAACTTCTGTGGCTTGAGAACAATCCCTGGTCTCTTTAGCTGTAGAAACATCACTTCAGTCTCTGCCTCTACCTCTATGTGGCCTCCTTTCTGTATCACTGGGGATCTGAATCCTCCTGTCTTTATAAAACACCACCCAGTAGACTGTGTTCTGCTCCAAATCCATTATAGCCTTATGTTAATTTTATGGGTCACAAACATTTGTAAAGACTCAACATTCAAATGAAAAGAGAAATGGAATCCTTATTCAGCCCAGTATGCTTTCCACTCTTTCTTTGAATAATATAGAGTTTGTAAAGTATATTTTAGAGTTAAGGCAGCTGAAACGAGTTACAAGTCTGTTTTATGAAGCAGTGTGGACTGGAGGATGATTACAAACTGATTCTGGAGTAAGAGGGGCCAGAGCTTTTGTTTCCTTGGTTTTGTATTGGAGGTGGCTACGGGGAAGTTTCTCTTGTGCGAAAGTGGACTGATGCACCGCCCAGGCCATCATTTCTAGCATCACCTTGATGCAGGGAGGGATCCCCCTTGACTTACAGAAATGACAATTGAACTACAGGATTCTCAGCCCAGCACTCACAGCTCCTTTGATTTTCATTAGTAACACAGGTAGATGTTATTGTCTCATATGTCTGTATTTTGTGTGTGTGGAAGGGATTCTGGAAGAAGGAAGACGGCAAAGGGAAAGAATGTTGACTATGTCTGTCTATCTGTACTACTCTGGTCTCCCAGGGTGGACATCTCTGCCAGTGTCTGTGGACTGCTCTTCAGATCAGAGAGTATACTTGTTGACCACATAGTGAAAAGAGGATCCTATAGTGAACACTAGGGTACTGTGTTTGGAAACTGGTCAGTCGTGTGATTAACATTGTGAAATACTGTCTTAGTATTCTATGGTGGTGAACAAACACTATGACCATAGCAACTTTCCTAAAAGAAAAAACATTTAATTGGGGCTTTTCATAGTTTCAGAGGTTTAAGTCCCTTGTGGTCATGTGGGAGAAAAGGCGGCATGCAGATAGATGTCATACTAGGAAAGTAGCTGAGAGTTCTACATCCACAGGCAGCAGGAAGAGTTTGGAATGGACTATTTTGGAACCTCAAAGCCCACCCTCAGGGACATACTTCCTCCAACAAAGCCACACCTCTTAATCCATTCAAATAGTTTTACTTTTGGTGACCAAGTACTCATACCTATGAGGCTACGGGGGCCATTCTCACTCAAACCACCACAGTTTTTGACCCACAGCAGGCCAGGTGCTATCTCACACCAATAGC